CCATATCAGGACTACAAATATCAGTATGAATTATTTCCAATATTTTAGAACTCCTCTTGGCACCTTTCTTTGACTTGTTAGTTTGCTTGCCTTTAATGCAATCTATACAAGTCTCAAAATAAGAGAAATCTAGAGTATTAAGCACTCCATCACTTACTAATCTCTTGATTCTGTCAATGGAGATATGACCTAATCTCTGATGCCACAAGATAGAGGAACCTTCATTCATAACACATCTTTTAATACCAGCATTATTATGAACGTGCATAACTTTATAATTATCCTCATTTTGCAAATTAAGTCGAAAAAGACCATCAAATAGTATTCCACTACCAACAACATTTGATTGAATAGATAAACTAAAATCTGAGTTTGAAAAGTTAAAAGAAAAACCACACTTTAATAGTCTAGATACTGAAATCAAGTTCCTAGCAAAACTAGGAATATAAAAAGTCTTTTCCAAATACAAAACAAAACCACTACTTAAAATTAGTTTGCACGTTCCTACTGCTTCCACATGTGAGGGCATCTTGTTTTCCGAATAGATGCTATGCTCACTTCCCACTGGTTTCCATAGGTTTAGCAATCCCTGCAAGGAATTGGTAACATGGATTGTAGAACCAGAATCAATCCACCATGTGTTATGCTTAGCATCAACCATATTGGATTCATAACAAACAAAAGAAAGTTGATTACCTTTCTTCTCAAGCCACTTTTGGAACTTAGGACAATCTTTCTTCACGTGATTTTTCTATTTACAGAAAAAACACTTGATTTCCTTCTTAATTTCCCTTTGAGGAGGAATTTTATCCTTCCCTTTATCTTTGGCTTGAAAATGTCTTTTCTTTCCCGATGTAGTAGTCATATTCATTTTCTCACCCTCTTCCATAGCCAAACGTCCTTCTTTATGAACACACATGGTCATCAATTCATTTATGGACCATTTATCCTTATGTATGTTGTAGGATATCTTAAAGGACCATATTGGGAAGGAAGAGTGCACAAAATGAAGTGAACTAGGAAAGAGTCCGAAATCTCAACTTCAAGTGTCTTTAGTTGAGCCGCAATATCCTTCATGCGCATGATGTGCTCACGCACACCTTTAATTCCGTTAAGCTTTATAGAAGAGAACTTCATTATAAGGGTACTAGCCAATGCCTTGTCAGAAGACACAAACTGATCATCAATTGCCTTCAATGAGACACGAACATTGTCATATTGCTCGACCGAACCTCGGATCCCAGCAGAAATTTTGGTCTTTATGAACATAACGCAGAGACGATTAGATCGTTCCCACCTTTCATAAAGAACCACTTCGGCTTGGGTGCTTTTATTAGTTATAGCAGCCGGTTCGTCCTTCCTAATGGCATAGTCAATGTTCATACACCCCAAATGAAGAAGTATTTTCTCCTTCCAATTTATAATTGTCCCCATTGAGCTTAGGAACATCAATTTTCATATCAGAGTGATTAACAGGTTGAATAACTGCAACATATACAATAATCATGCTCATATTCACAAATTTGAAACTAAGAAAATAATATGACATGTTATATCAATATAAAACACGTCTAAACATAAATCTAGAGACATAAAACTTGCCTGTGGGCTAAAGTTCTAATTCAATTAGATTTACAAACTTCATGATAAAACTATCAAATTACAACCATTTTCTAATCCCTGTGGGCAAATTAGAAAATTAATTTAATATTTTATCCTAATTAATCACACAAATATAGTAGAAATTCCTGTGGGATAAGATCCATCATATTATATATGAAAAATCACAACTCATGTTATATATCCATATGTGGTTACCAACAAAATTTATATATAATTTCAATCAAATAAGGATGCTGTGGCTACTCCTTAATTAATAAAAATTATACGCACCACATAACATAAAATACTAACTCATATAATTGTAAAATCTATAAACAATTATTTATCCATGAGCTATCAAGATTAATATTTGTAACATGCTTGATAACATAATTTTATAGCATGCATGATTTATTAATTTAAAGTATACAATTAATTCAAGCATAAACATATTAATCATAAAATGATATTTTAGCATTAAACATATGCTCATTTTTTTAATCCATCAAATATCAACATGAGCCCGAAAAACACCAAAAAATTCATCCAAATTCATTAAATATCACATATATTCATGAAAAATTGTCAACTTCCATATTCAAATACCAAAAGAACTCTCCATGTACAAATTAAATTATTAAAAACTTAATATCACAATTTCATGGAATAATAACTCATATTTGAAAATATACATAACACAAGCAAGGCAGAGATTAAACGTGGCTCTGATACCAAATGTAAGAAAATTTATTCGATTTAATCATATATCGGTGCAGCGGAATGATCGAGATTACATATCTCCAGCCATTGCTTGTGTATGTTTAAGTAATTTGAAGAACTTGTAGAAGACAACGGTGAATGCTTCGGCACGTTCACTTTTACTCGGTTAGGATCTTCTAGGCTCTTTCACTTTCTCTTTAGATGGTGTAAGATTCAGTAGTCATAAAGTGATGAGCCTAGGGACCTTTTAAAACCGATGGTACCCTTTGGCAGAAAGGTACCTTTTGATATATAGTACTTATTGGTATATGGTACCTTTTGATAGAAAAGTACAATGTCTACTTATTAATTATGTCCATCATAGAATTAATAGGTGATTAACAATATTTGTACTCTTTATAAATATGAACATATGGACCACATTAAATTATCTTGTTTATACATGATACAAGATAACTGAGAAAATAAAATACTAACAGTTAATATACAAAAATCATGAAAATTGGTGCACTAATGATTTTTTTTTAATTTTTTTAATAAATTAATGTACAAAATTTGATTTGAGCCAAATTAGTATATTATTTTCTTAAAGTGGATGAATTTAGTCCATAAAATGGAATTAAAAATGAAATTAAGAAAAAATATATTTGTTAGTGTGTATTGATAAGCCCAAAGAAAAAATTACCACTTATGAAATGTATCTAAATTCAACCCGCCAGATAGTCCTTAATAATCAACCAGGACTTATTTTCACTATTAGAAAAATATATGTTGTTTAACTCATATAGAAAAATATCATTTTCAAAGAATCTTTCAGACCATAATTAAGTATCCATAATCAATGATGGAGCCCACATTTAAATCTAAATAATTGAAAGGGCAAAAATCTTTTGTTAAAACACTCTCCTATACAAAGAAAAATGATTTTTCACTAACCAACCCTCAAATGATTAAATCTATCACTTGGGGCATCTTTCGCATAAACCTTACAAAAACACCCACTACTATACCTTTTCCTCTTCTTGTTATATAATATTGTCAACCAAATTTTTAAATCCCCCATTCATTGGGTCTAGTCAGAAAGCTCACCTTTGCCAACCTGGGATCCTTTTTACGTCCAAATTTATATAAGTGAACATTTAAATATTTTCACATTATATGTTCGTGTGTGAATGTAAACACAAATATTGTTTGGCTAACAACTGATATTTTTAGCTTATTGATATTTTATGGATATATAAATTGTGCTCTAATGATACTGAGGAGTAGTAAAATAGAGTACGCAAAATGTGTTTGAATATCATTAAAAGTTTGAATAGATCGGCTTGTGCGCTCAAAGAACATCTTGGACTTACACAACTTGGACTCCCTCCTAGTCTACCAACACTATATTCAACTCTATTAACTAATCATCTGGCCACAAATGTGGACTTCACAATAGTTATGAATCTCTCACAACTATACAAGTATTTGATCCTTAAGCAACTGGTCATCGATTTTGGATCGATTATGCTGGTAGCTTAGAAGAGATAGTCCTTCATGTTGTGAGGTGGGGGCTAGAGAATGCATTGAAGCTTGGTAGCACTCCTTCAATTGCTTCATCAGTGCTCAAGGGACTGCTCAAATGCTGATTAGAAATTCATTATTTGGTAACAATGTTAGACCAATTGTTGATGACATTTATCTGTTAGCTAAGACTTGTTTGAATTGCTCTTTTCTTTTTGATTCGGTTTTGTGTTGTAGGAGTTTGAGTTTAGCCAAGAAGGCTGTCAAGTGGGAGTATATCTATTTCTCTCTTGTTTGGTGCTATCTAATTTTTCGTGTTTTTGGGAATAGTCTTCTTTGTAACCATTTGGTTTCTCGTCTGTACTCGTATATTTGAGTTTAATGAAAGTTGTCATGTTGTCGTCGGGGAAAAAAAGTTAGAACAAAAAATAAAATTATTAACCCGAATCATTCTTTAAAATTATTTGAATAATATCCATAGTCGTCGTGCCTATAAATTTTTCGGTTCAGTTTAGTTCGAAAAGAGTAAAACAGTTTGGTTAACTTTCAATTCAAAATTATTTAAGTTTAATTTTCAAAATAATTTGATGTTCTCCGATACTTAATTCTAGTGATCAGCCATCTTGTTGATTTGTTTTCTAAATAATAATAACATGAACAGAAGTCTCTTTATCACTTTATGTTAATCTGTAAAATCTTGGGCCCTCTTCCTGGAAATGTGCCAGATATTCTGGACTTAATACAACCAAAAGTTTTTAGATTTCTCGTCATTGTCATCTGTATTAAGACTTCTGAAAGATGTAAGTGGCCCACTAAGACAGCTGGTTACAACATAAGTAGCTATCATAATGAACCACTATTTGTTAAGCGATTTTAATTATTACTATAATAATTAAACAAACAAATGATAAAACGTATCGAGGGTGAAACAAACTATTTCAGTAGATGTCGGACATATTCAGTACAATAATTTCTATTTTGATAGGAAAGGACAAAGTTGATAATGCTTTCTCAAGTTCTATAAATCAAAGAGAAATATCGTACAATCCTATACAATACAAATATTGTGGTGCTTCGATCAATAGTTAATTGCACCAACTGCAGTTAAAATGGAGAATTACGCTAAAGAATCGGAATACAGAATAATTAAGTACAATATTTCGTGGACATAAAAATGGGNAAAAAAAAAAAAGAAAAAGATAAAAATCCGTGGACTAGTTCTAAGGTTGATTTTATCAAATTCATCCAGCTGGTGAAGTGAAGCCTCACTTATATACAACCAAGTGTTTTCCCTCTTCCAGTCCAGGACTTCTTGAATTTTCACCGCTCAATTTTCATGTTGGCAATTTGAGTTGAGCCTGTAAAAAGAATACCTTTTAGCTACTCAAGGTTTGTTTTTGACCAATTAAATTTATTTTTATAAATTTACCAGAAAAGTTAACCGGATCTTGGACACTCCCCCTCTGAACAATGCTCTGCAATTCATCTTCATTGAATAAAGGAAACTGCTACAAAATGGAGTTCAGCATCATAAGAACATTAGATTCAAGTGTTTTCTTTCAAGAATTACTAACATTGTTCTTTTTTTTTTCCTTAATTACCTGAGTAATAGTATCGTTAAACCCGTTAGCAGAAGGCAAATGAATTCCTAAATTGCGGGCATCCATAGGTAGAGAATCCACTGTGCATTGGCCTAATGGACCGGTCAATATGCTTGAACAATTGTTCTGATTATGATGTATTTGGTGTATATTTTGCTGATAGAATGCTGCTGGTGAAGAGGAATCCAAAGGGTACATTTGTTGGGGCAGAGAGATTGCATTTTGCTGAAACATCTGTGCATCATCATATATGGACCCATCAAAATTACTATATTTCAGGAATACATATAAATATCTAAAAAGAAAATTAGGATAGAAATTTAATTTGAACTCACATCCTTGGAGAGAAGATTTTCCATGTTGAAATCAAGGCCTGGATTGACCGAGGCCAATTTCATGGACAGAAACTGGAAATATTATGAAGAGAACAAGAAAATGTTAATATAAAGTAGAGAGACAGATTAATTTTTCGAAACTGCATGAACAACATACAATTTGGTGTCTGTTTAATTTTACCTCAACCTGGCGTTGCAAGGACTGTACGTAATTAATGATCTCATCAAGCATGAGTGCTTTCCCAGTCACCTGATATGCAAACAAATTCCATAGTTCCAAGTCATTTCTCAATTCCAAATAATATGAACAATTACAACAACTATCCTGAGATGAGCTTAATTATAGACACGATCCCGAATTAAATTTTTGGCATGACTTCTATAATTTAACCAATATTTTATTTTGATCTGGATTTGGAAAAAAACGTACAAATTTGTGCTAACCTTATTGCAACCAGGTACAAGATCTTGGAGAAGTTTCATTCTCTCGCTGATTTTTTCACGGCGAACCTGATGGAAACAGAAAAACGATAAGGTGGATTGAATTTCAGCAAATTCTTCATAATTGAGGTAACTAATAATAATAAAGAAAAGAAAATTGGTATCGATTACTCTTTCAGCTAGACTATGGCTATCAGTGGCCTGGCCCCTTCTTGCTCTGACATGAATATAATCCTTTGGTGGCTCAGACGGCTTCTCATCGACCTTTCTTTTCTCGCTTTCCTCATTTGAGGCTCCTTTGAAATTTTCCTCTTCTGTTTTGGTCTCAATTTTCCCACCTTCAGTTGGCTTTGAACGTTTCGCATCTGCATCTTCACCGCCTTCACTTACCTAGTAATGGAACACTTTGTATTTAAGTGAAGAAAAAAAAAGTTTGAAAAAAAAGGATATACATATAGCTACTAAACTACCCGTGTTCGTGTAGTTAATTAATGTTTTTCTTTGAGCAAATAAAATTTTCAGTTTTAAGTTTTATCGAGCAAATACAACTATTAGCCTCCTAATTAGATCTAATTACAGATCTAAGTGTGTCTGCATTTACTAGTTAGACTGCAGGTTGAAAGTTGGGTAATTCACTCTACTAAAGAAGTCCTGTATTGACTGACTAGCTGACTATTGAGGGGCTAATTGGCAAAAACGAAGGAAAAATTATCGAGGCGGTTACAGTTGGTCTACACAAGGTTGTAATTAATTAGACTAATGACAAAGGAATTTTGAGCAATTAAATCGAAATTTTTACCTTCGCTGAGTTTGACCCATCTTTAGATTTCCCTCTGGAACCAGATTTTCTCTTCCTAGAGTTCATCTCGTTCGAGATCTTGGACCCCGTTTCACCACTCGGGATTTGTTCCGAAACAGAGGACTCCTCATTCGAAGAATTAGCATTCGACCCCAACAGTTTACCTAATTTCTTCTCAGGCCCCATTTTCCCGGGCCTGGGAATCTCCATCTGGCCTGAATTCCTACTCGCCATCGCCGATCCGCCTTGCTTGAGGGCCGGACTGCTCGAAACACGGGATAATTTACCGTTAGTCGCGGAAAATGGATTGCTGCTGGATCTAATCCCCATTTCGCCATTGCTGCTCAGCCCTAATTGCGGCTGGGACCTGCCATTGAAGCTCCGGCTGCCGAAGCAGGAGAACTTGGCCGCCCTCTCAGCGAACCCCGGATCGGCCGCGAGCGACGGAAGAGGCGGGGCTAGGGTTGCCATGCTCCCGAAATTGGAGATGCTCATTTGGTCCACGATCGGCAGATTCAGCTTGGGAGAGGCTAGGGAGCTGCCTTCGGTGGTGGTGCTGGCGAAGTTGGAGCAATCTGCCGCCGGAAAAGCAGCGGGGGTCACCGCGTCGCCGCCGAGCTTCCGGATCAGTTCGCGGAGGGCCAAGGACGAGTCCAAGTACGAGAATTGGTCATCGTTGGGCTCGATGAACGACTGATCGGCCCCGCAGGTCACTTCTGTCCATGGAGAAATTCCGGCGTTCATAAAGTAATTTTTGTCCATTTACAATGAAGAAAGAGGAAGAAGAAGGAGAAGAAGAATCGCACTCTTTCTCACTAAAAACTCGGGGGAATAGTGAATAGTTTTTCGGAAATGATATTCCAAATAAAGTTGTGTCAGGAATGTGCTGGACAGAAATCCTAAAATAATGTTCTTCACAATATTTATATACGAAGAGGAAGTAAAAGGGTGAATGGAAGTGAAGGAGGAGATGGGAATTGGAATGTTGGGGCGAGAAAAGGAAGCGGAAGAAGGAAGAGCAGAGTGGAAAAATGGAAGAGAAGAAAGGTTGGCGGTGAAGTTATATTGCTAAAAAAGTAAAATAGTCATATTGACTTTTTTTCAATATTATATGTAGAAAATACTCTAATAATACACATTTACCTATACATATGCATATAAAAATGTATGTGCGTATGTGTGTGCTCCCGTTAAAAGCGGTGGAAGAAACGTTATATGCCGGGCCTCGGACGTCAGTCATCAAAATATTCACCTCTC